AATCGATCTCTTAGGAATAGGATTCGCTCTAGAGATCCCAGGAAACCCAACAGCATTGGCAATCGATCGATACTCGGCTTCCGTTGATGACCGAGAATAACCAGTAAGTTTCTTGGAAGACCACGAGATCGGATGACGTCCGAAATAAACAATGTACGCTCCCGTCGATTTGAAGTCTCCATGATCACCTGCCCAGTCCGCATCACTAAAGGCATGTAGGGCCGGAACGTTGGTGGTTGTGAGAATGATGCCCTTGTTGCGAGTTCCGGCTAAGTATCGGAGAACACGTTTCGCCGCTTTCTAGTGTTCATCCGTAGGGGCGTGCATGAACTGGGAGAGTTTATTTATCGCAAAACTGATGTTGGGTCTAGTGAGGGACAAGTATTGAAGACTTCCAATAACTGCTCGAAACTCGGTGGGTTCTGCCAACTGGGTACCCGAGGCTAAGGTGAGTCTGGAAGTCGAGGCCATGGGAGTGGTGACCGGTTTAGCATCAGACATGTTTGTACTTATGAGAAGGTCGTTTATATATTTCCGTTGCCCAAGAAACAAGCCTGAATGTGTCCAAGATGCTTCCACGCCCAAGAAGTACGACAGGGCTCCTAAATCTTTAAGAGCAAACCGAGCCGAGAGTAAGGCAATCCACGTAGACTAACACAAAGAGTTGAACTTGTGCATTCCGAAGGATAAATAAAGAGGCATCGGCTAAGGAGTTGACAAAGCCTTGAGCAAGAAGAAATGACCGTAATTCCGAGTACCATGCCCTTGGTGCTTGCTTTAAACCATAAATGGCCTTGTGGAGCTTGCAGACAAAAGTGGGATTGTCTTTGTCGACAAATCCGGGGGGTTGAGTCATATAGACTTCCTCGGAAAGACGACCTTGGAGGAATGCGTTATTGATGTCAAGTTGCTTAACAGGCCAATCATGAGTGACAGCAATGCTGAGTATGAGTCGGATCGTAGTAGGCTTCACAACGGGGCTAAAAGTTTCCTGAAAATCCACGCCCGGACGTTGATGGAATCCCTTGGCCACAAGACGAGCTTTATAACGGTCAACAGAGCCATCGGGATTTTTCTTGATGCGGAAAACCCATTTGCACCCAACTGTGTTTCTGACATTTGTCAGTGAAACCAATTCCCATGTACCATTGTGTATAAGAGCATTGAACTCTTCGCTCATGGCATGACACCACATTGGATCCTTTTAAGCTTGGCCGACGGACGTGGGTTCCCTGTTGGATTCGGTGACAGAGGCAGCAAGTGTAAGTTTATGAGCGGGCTTAATAATGTTGTTTTTACCTCTTGCTATCATCGGATGGTGGTTCCGAGGCGGAGTAACAACAGGAACAGGTTCAGCCGAAGTAGATTCAGCCGTCGTCGTCCGTGTGTCGGAGACATGCAGAATATCAGCCTCTGCAGCCTCAACTCCGGGCAGGGAAGCCTCCTCTGTTCTCGCCGGTGAAGCTTCCTCGCTCAGGGGTGCCAGAGATGGAGTTTGAATGACCAGCGGCCTGTAAGAGGGGACACGAGACACAAGAGAATCCGTGTAGATAGAGGGTTCAGTGGTTGAAGAGGATTGAATATTGTGTTCGGCTTCATCAAATGGAAACTTTGACTCGTGGAAAATGACATGCCGAGAGATAAACATATGAGATCGAGAGCGATCAAGGCATAGGTAAGCGCTTTGAGTGGTCGAGTATCCTAGGAAAATACAAGGTGCAGATTTTGGTTCGAGTTTATGAGAGGTATATGGACGTAACCAAGGAAAGCATAAGCATCCAAAAACTCGGAGTTTGTCATAGTTTGGAGGGGAACCGAAAAGAGTTTGAAAGGGCGATTTCATGTGTAGAGTTAGGGTAGGTATACGGTTAATAAGATAGACCGCTGTGGTTAGGGCATAAGACCAATAGGAGATAGGTATAGATGCTCGATGAAGGAGTGAAAGTCCAGTTTTAACAACATGTCGATGTTTCCGTTCGGAGATGCCATTATGCTCGGGAGTATGAGGAGGAGTGGTGTAATGGGAGATGCCGTGTGCAGCAAGAAACGACGCTAGGGCAATATATTCGCCACCATTGTCGGAGTAAAGGGTTGTGATTTGAGTCGAGAATTTGTTTTCTACGAGGGCTTTGAATCGAATAAAAGTATCACGAACTTGAGATTTTTGTTTGAGGGGATAAAGTCACGAGTAACGGGTGAAGTGATCAACGAAGAGAACATAGTATTTGAATCCGTCAACCGAGATAATCGGTGAGGTCCACACATCAGAGTATAGTAGTTCAAGGGGACAAGAGGATGATAAAGTAGAATTAGAAAACAAAAGTTTGTGGCTTTTATTAACGGAACAAGAGTCACAAGGCAAAGAGATGGTATCCCGAGACAATGGCAAACCAAACTTAGACACGACATGTTGTAGAATCGAACTAGAAGGGTGACCTAAACGAGAGTGCCACTCGGACAACGTGGACTTAAGACACGTAAAAACTTGAGGAGATGACGACGAAGTGAAAGAGGAGACCGGCCATTCATAGACTCCATCTCTAGGCTTTCCGGTTAGGAGTTGCGCCCCCGTGCTTAGATCCTTCACCTGAAAAGAACAAGGGAAGAATTCCACCGACACGTCGTTAGAGTTGCAAAGCTGATAAACCGAAATGAGATTTTTCTCCATATTAGGGACACACAGCACGTTGTCGAGAGAGACATGTCGAGTAGAAGAGGGTAAAGATACTCAACCAGTATGAGTGATAGCTAAAGCCGAGCCATCACTGAGCATGACTTCATCAGCGCCTTGATAAGGTTGATGAAGTGACAGGTTCTGCAGATCCGATGTTACATGATGAGAGGCACCACTGTCCACCAACCATGGTCCGGAATCATACGGAGAAACAACAGTGTGATTGGCCCTCGGTTGCAATGGTCGGGGAGAGGGAGACCATGTCGAACCAGATTGTTCAGAGGCCGATATAAGACGAAACTGCCAGTACCGCTGGGCACTGTGCCTGTGAATCCCGCAGGCCTGACAACGATCATTGTAACCTCGGGAATGACCTGTAGAAGATCGGTTCCAATGTGACCCACGGGAGCCACTGTTTCCGCGAAACTGTTGGCGAGAGCGAGAACCTGTGGGATTTGCCGTAACTGGAAAGGTAGACGAATTAGGAGCAACAGTGGAGGCAAGCTTTGCCTCATGGTTTATCAGCTTCTCATGAAGCTCTTCTACGGTAATAGCCACGTCTTTTGCATGGACCATGTCGACAATGGGCTTGTATTCTTCAGGAAGGCCATCGAGGATCGCTTCAAGTAGATCCTCAAGATCAAGGGGTTTTCCAAGGTGAGCCAACTCATCAGATTTGGAGACAATGAACCTGATGTATTCGTCAATTGTTTGAGTTCCTTTGACAGATCTCTTGATCTGGTCACGAAGTTGTAGGAGATGACCTCGGGAGGCTTTGCCGTAGGTGTTAGCTAGGGTTTTCCATGCATCGCAGACAGAGGCAGCACGAGCAACCATCAGTTGCAAATTCACCGAGATGGCTCCGAGAATGGAGCTAGACAACAAACGATCTTGTTGCTTAAAGGGCACGAAAGCGGGGTTGGGAACGAGCACATCGTTCTTGGAGATCATGGCAGGCGGCACCATTGTGTTGTTGAGGACAAAGCAATCGAGTTGATGTCCTTCTAGCAGAGCTAACACTTGAATACTCCAGGTGATATAATTTGTCGGGGCTAACTTGGTAGTGTCGCTTGCGGATTCGTCGGATTGAACGAAGTTGCTGTTGCAGGAGCTTCAGTTTGAGACATGATTCTGGGTTGTCGTTACAGCGACGTCGGAGGAGGGGTTGCAGACGATGATTGTCTATGTCGGCGGCTAGGGTTTCGAAAAAGTCGTGAGACTAAATGACTCTTGATACCATATAGAACTTTTAAGAGTATGTTTTATTATTATGATTACAAAGGCTATATATACATCTGTAAGACTCTACTATCAACTTCCTATAATCCAACATTCCATAACTATAATTGATTTACAAAGATATACCAAGATATTCCGAGATATTCCAATACCTTAGAGGTTAGTTTTCGACAAACTATCGGGTCTGTCAAGAAACTTTTTTTTGATTGATTAATAGATTTACCGTTAACAACTTTTATCATCTAACATTTTTTTCAATTTGGGTTTGTAATGAATGGATTTAAGCCCATATATTGACCATAAATGGTCCGTATATGATAGTTTGATTCATTTTAAAATTTATCAAATCAAATGACAGGGAGTAATCTAGGTTCGAAGCTAAAGTGGGACAACGGAAGTTTCGGGCAAGCTGGTGAAGATTTGGTCAAAAGAAAAAAGAGGACGTGTTCAATAACGGAGCAACTAACTCCACTCTTTTGCGTTTTTAAAAGATTGTTTGTTATGCTTTTGTTCATTGTATTTGTTTATTTAAGAAGAAAGTCTGAAGCTAATAAAAACAGAGCTTTTTTCAAAACTCTCGTGTGTGTTCTGTTTTGTTTCTCATCAAAAGTAGAGGATCATTGGTTCGTTTGTGGGTTTTACATTTGGTATCAGAGCGTTGGATCGGTGAGTGAATGCCAAAATACATGTCTCGAGAGGAGTCATCTGGTAGTGTTGTCCGTGATGATGGCAACACCCAGACCACGCGTGTTGAATCGAGATCGCAGGGAAAGGAAGGGAATATCTCGATTCAATATCCTATGCTTACCAAGACGAATTATGCTGTTTGGGCGATGAAGATGGAGATTTTTATGAACGCACAGGGTGTATGGGGAGTGATCAACCCTGTGGGACCGGTGGATGCAAAGAAAAATAGAATGGCGTTAGCTGCGATCTGTCAGAGTATCAGTGAAGAAACGCTCTTAAGATTGGAGTGAAAAAACAGCAAATGAAGCTTGGGAGGCTATCAAAACATTGCACGTCGGTGTTGAGCGAGTGAGGGAGGTTTAGAGCTCAGTCACTACGCTGGGAACTTGAAGGAATAAGGATGGCGGACGCTGAGAAAGTAGATGATTTCGCTGAGAGGATCACTACCATAGTAAGCAAGTTAAGGTCTCTGGGGGAGACTGTTGAGGAAGTCTATGTGGTGAAGAAGATTCTGAGGTCAACTTCACAAAAGTTCATTCAAATGACCTCAAATCTAGAGCAGTTCGGGGATTTGAAGAACACAAGCATAGAGAAAATCATCGGATCACTCAAAGCGCATGAGGAGCGCAAGAGTGATGAACATGTGTTGCTCACACGAGCAGATGGAAGGCAAGAGAAGAAGTAAATACCTCGGCTGACAAACGGGGAAAAGATCAAGAGAACCCCAGGGGACGAGGTAGAGGCCGAGGAGGGCCAAACAGCCGTGGCAGAGGTCGTGGCAGAGGTCAAAATTTCGACATATCACGCGTGAGATGCTTCAAATTGTTGCGAATAGGGTCATTTTGCTGCAGATTGTGAACTAAAAAAGGAGGAAGAGCAAGTTAATATAGCTGAGGAGAAGGTAGAAGAACCAACTTTACTGATGATGGAATCATGTGAGTTGGTTCATACAGTTGAGATAGGTGATGATCATGTATTACTCAATGAGGAAGGTGACTCTCTACAGAAGAGGTATGGAGAAGGTCTAACTACAGAGATGGTTTGGTATTATGACACAGGAGCCAGCAATCATATGACAGGTTCCAAACAAGCCTTCACTACTTTGGATGAAGATGTGAGAGGACGTGTACGTTTCGGAGATGGAACATTCATTGAAGTTAAGGGAAAAGGTTCGGTGAAATTCTATTGCAAAGATGAAGGGAAGCTAAGGATGGAAAATGTGTACTACATCCCTCAACTACAAAGCAACATCATAAGTCTTGGACAGCTAGAAGAGATTGGAGCCAAGATTGTGATTGAGAATGGATTCATGAGAGTCTTTGATGCCAAAGGACAACTAGTTGCTAAAATTCCACGAGCCTCGAATCGTTTGTACACGATGACACAGGCGCATTCTACGTGTCTGCTAACAAGGAAAGACACTGAAACCTGGAATTGGCATGAGAGGTATGGTCACTTGAATTTTTTGGCTTTGAAAGAAATGGCAATGATGGGAATGGTGAAAGGGCTGCCTGAGATTCAGCAGACTTGATGGATGCCTTGTTGGAAAACAACATAGAGCTAAGTTTCCAAGAGCCACGTCATTTCGAGCAAACAAGTTGTTGGAATTAATCCATGGAGACATCTGTGGCCCCATCTCTCCACTAACCCATGGAGGAAAAATGTACTTTCTTCTATTGGTTGATGATAAAAGCAGATTTATGTGGATAGAAATGCTCGGGAATAAAAGTGAGGCTCTTGAATTATTCAAGAAAGTAAAGACAATGGCTGAAAGTCAGTGTGACAGGAAGATTAAAATGCTTCGAACTGACAGAGGAGGAGAGTTCACTTCGTTTGCTTTTAACAAATTTTGTGAGGAGCATGGGATTCTCAGACAATTGACGGCTCCTTACACACTTCAACAGAATGGTGTGGTTGAGAGAAGGAATCAGACAGTTATGGAGATGGTTAGGTGCTTGTTAAAGAGCAGGGGAATGCCAAAAACGTTTTGGGGAGAAGCAGCAAGAACTGCAGTCTACATTTTGAACAGATCATATACAATGAGCGTGAAAGGCAAAACACCATATGAAGCTTGGTTTGGAAAACCACCTAAGGTGCATCATCTGAGAGTGTTTGGTTGTATTGCATATGCCAAGACTGTCGGAACACACTTAAAAAGTTGGAGGACAGAAGCAAGAGAATGGTGATGCTCGGCTATGAACCAGGAAGCAAGGCCTATCGGTTGCTGAATCCGGAGAATAACCGGATAGTTGTAAGCAGAGATGTGGTTTTCAAAGAAGGAGAAGGCTGGAACTGGGAGAAAACGGAAGATGATCTCGTATCAGATGTGAAACCACCAGTCATCACTATTCAGTTTTTGAATCAACCCGAGAATACATCTTCAACGTCAGATTCAGTCATGGCACCTGAAAATGTCGATTATGCAATCATCGACACTGAAGATACAGGGGACAACAGTAGTAACATGAGGCCAAGGTGTTATAAGTCACTGCAAGAGTTGTATGACACCACGCATGAAGTAGAACCAGAAGCTGGTCTTTACTTCCTATCAATAGAAGAGCCAACTTCTTTCGAAGAAGCAACAGGAAATGAGAACTGGCAGCAAGCTATGGTAGAGGAGATTGAAGCCATAGAGAGAAACAAAACCTGGAGTTTGGTGGAATTGCCCGAGGGTCACAGACCCATCAGTTTGAAGTGGGTCTTTAAGCTGAAAAAGAACCCAGAAGGTGATATAATCAAACATAAAGCAAGGCTAGTTGCAAGGGGCTTTGTGCAGAAGCATGGCATCGATTATGAGGAAGTCTTTGCTCCAGTGGCCAGGATAGAAACAGTGAGGCTTCTCTTGGCCATGGCTGCGCAAGAAGGTTGGAAAGTACATCATATGGATGTAAAATTTGCCTTCCTCAATAGAGAATTGGAGGAAGAGGTGTATGTTTATCAACCTAAAGGTTTCATAAAGAAGGGAGAAGAGATGAAGGTGTTAAAACTGAGAAAAGCATTGTATGGTCTGAAACAGGCTCCTAGAGCCTGGAATACCAAGCTTGATCGAAGTCTGAAGGAGATAGGCTTCGAAAAATGCAGTCTGGAGCATGCTGTTTACAAACGACAGAGAGAAAAGGATGTATAAATCGTTGGAGTGTATGTTGATGATCTGGTGATATTGGGTTCTCAGTCCGAAAGCATCAGAGAGTTTAAGGATCAAATGAAAAGGATGTTTGAGATGAGTGACCTCGGATTGTTGAGCTATTATTTGGGAATTGAGGTTCAACAAGAGGTTGAGAGTATTACTCTCAAATAAACAGGGTATGCTGAGAGGTTGCTGAAGAAGTTTGGGTTGATTGATTGCAAGCCATGTCGAGTGCCAATGGACTCTCGTACAAAGTTAAGCAAAAGGGATGACAGCCCTCCTGTTGATGTTACGCAGTATCGAAGCGCCATTGGAAGTCTTAGATATCTGGTTCATACTCGACCTGACATTGCTTTTGCAGTCGGTGTTGTTAGTAGATACATGGAGTCTCCAACCACGAAGCACTTGGCAGCAGTAAAAGCAAATTCTGAGGTATGTCAAGGGAACTCTGCAACTTGGATGCAAATATGTGAAAGAAGGTGGCGAAACAAAGCTGACAGGTTATTGTGACAGTGATCTCGCCGGGGATGTGGACGATCGGAAGAGCACCTCAGGTATAATGTTCTTCCTTGGTAATAGTCTGGTGACTTGGACATCACAGAAACAGAAAATTGTGGCTTTATCATCCTGTGAAGCTGAGTACGTAGCCACAACAGCAGGATCATGCCAAGGGATTTGGTTGGAGAGACTTCTGTTCGAAATCAGGGGACACTCTGATCGAAGAACTGTGCTGAAGGTGGATAACAAATCGGCCATTGCACTTGCGAAGAACCCAGTGTTTCACAGTCGAAGTAAACACATAGAGGTGAAGTATCATTTCATTCGAGATTGTATATAGAAAGGGGACATTGAGCTGGATTATGTGAGAATCGAGGAGCAATTGGCTGATTTGTTAACCAAACCACTGGCGCGAGAACGACTAGAATTGTTGCGACATGCAGTTGGGATCAGAAACCTCATATCAGGCGAACAAGATTAAGGGGGAGAGTGACAGGGAGTAATCTAGGTTCGAAGCTAAAGTGGGACAACGGAAGTTTCGGGCAAGCTGGTGAAGATTTGGTCAAAAGAAAAAAAGAGGACGTGTTCAATAACGGAGCAACTGACTCCACTCTTTTGCGTTTTTAAAGGATTGTTTGTTATGCTTTTGTTCATTGTATTTGTTTATTTAAGAAGAAAGTCTGAAGCTAATAAAAACAGAGCTTTTTTCAAAACTCTCGTGTGTGTTCTGTTTTGTTTCTCATCAAAAGCAGAGGATCATTGGTTCGTCTGTGGGTTTTACATCAAATTATTAGTCAGATTATGTGAAACTTATTTTATTAATCTCTGAATAATATATTAATAGTAAGGAAAATAACATTGTGTAATATGTCAAATTCCTATACGAATTTTTATTTTTACATAAAACTATTTCGAAATTCAAAATATCTCAAAATCCATCATCTATTTTCGAAATTTGTTATAATATACTACATGACGTCATACGATTTTTATATTTTTCATTGTCTGTCAATGGACATGTTGACATGGCCATCATATTTTCACCATATAAGATTGTCATCCAGCAGAAATACGAAATAAAATAATATATACGTGAATATATATAGTATACATATACATATATGTGTATTGTGTTTAATATTTGTATGTTTCTATATATGAATATATATGTATATATATACATGTGTATATATATTTTTATTTTTTATTTTATTTTTAAATTTTTAATTAGAATTTTTCTGCCATATGGTAACGTGGTAAGTTTATGTGGCTAAAATATGATGAACTTTCGGACATATCGTGTAAAACATTATAACAAATTTTGGAATTTGGTGACAGACTTTGGTATATTTTGAATTTCGGTGTAGTTTTATATAAATTAAAAAATTGGTTTAGTAATTTGATATAGTTATATAAATTCCTGTGAAAATATGTTATTTTCCCTTGATATTTTGATATCATTTTCACTTGATTATATTTGAAATGACAGCAAAAATTAAATATTTTTATCGATAATGTACAAATAATTTTAAAATCAATAATTATTGAATTCTTAATTGGGATTTTGTAGTAAAAGAATTAGATATGACAATATTACTTTTAATAAAAAATAGAAAAAATCGTCAAAAAAATATGGTAGTCTTCAGACGTCGACAAAAAACCCCTATATTTTTTTATTATAAAAAAATCTATACTTATACTTATTCGCCGAAATATATCTTATACTCTTAAGATATGAGACAAAAAACCCTGTTTTTTTTGTTATCAAACAAATCCTATACTTATTCGACAAAATATAGTTATACTTTATTGTTAGATATGGTTCGTCTGAAAGTGTTGAAGAGCTACTGGATGAGAGAGAGACGTCGAGTTTATGAAGACGGCGATGTATTACTCGATTCGTTAAGAAGTCTCTTATAAATTCGAATGGCTAACAGGTCTTTTCGGTTATCCGGTTTTGGATATAAAATCCGATTGGTAATCTGAAGAAAACCCAGATTCTATTTTTCGCCATTGAAGCTCGTTCTTGAGCTTGCCACTCTGTAATCAAACACGATATAGTGAATTCCTTGGATTGATACAATCTGGTCAGACGTACCGTTTCTCACACTGATAACGGGAACTTGTAATCGTGTGTTCTTTCTTGTACTATCTGAACACGATTTCGCTAGAACTCTCAACCAGTGAAGACCTTGAATCGAACACGATCGCACCTCAGATCTTTCGCGATGAATAGAACATACACACACTCGAGAATGCAAAGGAAATTAAAAGATGAAAAGAGTTTTACGAATTCAGATCAATCGGTGTGATTGATCCTACGACTCAGGGAAGAGAGGGGAGTTTATTATTGCTTCAAGATTACAACATACAAAACTCTGAAGAACGAGAGAAAACAACTGACTCGACTCGTCAAGAACTGGATATGAGTATATATGGGAAAGACGAGTGAAACCTCTGTTTCATTTGTTAATGATGATAGGACCATAAAAGAGTGGAGGAATTCCACGTGGCTAATTGATGTAGAATTCAAGAGAAATATTGCATGATTTATGCTATGTAAATTAATGAAGATTGAGGCGCGGAGAATCAAGCCAATATCTCCCATAAATTGGACAACAAGGAACCAATCATGCATTAAAGAAGACAATCATGAGATTCTTTCCAAGTGTAAAACTAGCCGTTTACTTATTTTACATGTTTATATATTCAAGTTATTTTGTACAGACTTTAATTAAGACAATACAAGGGAGTTAGTCCCATTCATTCTTCATTCTCTCGGTCCTTTCTTTTTTATCTTGTCCAAACACGTTTCTCTTTGTTTCTATAGCAACAAATATACAAAAACTCACATGGTATCAGAGCACTAAGATCTAAGGTGCCAAAAGTCTAGTTTTTCGCTGCAA